TATCAAATAACGTCTACTGTCACTTTCTAGACTAAACCTGGACTCATCCGTAAAGAGAACAGGCCTCCATTGATCTGACGTCCAGTGGACATGTTGTCGGGCCCACTGCAAACGGTCTCTCCTATGGCGTGATGTGAGCGGCACGCAAATGGCTGGTCGTCTCGCATACAGACCACCTTCGTGGAGCCTTCTGCGCACAGTTGACGTTGACACCAACCTTCCGGTGGCTGCAGCAAGAGAGGATCTAAGATGTGTCGGAGTAGCGGTTCTATTCCTGCGTGCACTTAATGTCAAATATCGGTCATCGGCACTACTTCTTTGGGATTTTATGAACTGAAAAATGACAGTTTTCGTGAGAATGACCCATGTATTGAAAGCCTTCTTCTTCTTGAAGGGCAAGTACCCCATTGCTTATTTTTTTTTTAATTTAACTTGTAGGTTTTTGCACCCGATTTGATATCAAAAGTAACAAAAGAAAAAACAGAGAGATATTAAATATTGCCAGTTAAAAAACTTAACATTAACACAGATTTTTTTTTTTTTTTTTAGGAGAGAAGAAAAAGAACTTAGTAACAACAGGGACAGAAACCGTTCCTTATTTATGAACCGTTATGAGTCACGTTAACGAGTAAAAGTACTTCATTCTTTCTTCGAATTGTATTCCGCAGTTTGAATTTTATTTCTCAAACATAGATGATTAATTTTCGAATGCAGGAAATCGTTCATTTTACACGAATTGACAAAACTTTTCTTTGTTTTTGTGAAAAATATTAAACATTAATGTACAAATATTATATTAAGTGGTGCAATGAGCTCATTGGGTATTAAAATATTGTTTCTTTGAAGGTTTTTGTGACTACAAACTACCTCAGAGCAAATACAGACCGGGCTATGCATTTGATTCAGAGACTGAGAACTTTCCTCTGACTGGACTCCGATTTGTGGGACTCATGGCAATGATTGATCCTCCGAGAGCAGCAGTTCCTGACGCCGTATCAAAGTGTCGAAGTGCCGGCATTAAAGTGAGTCACTCTTCATAAATAAAATAGTAAAATTACGCAATTTCACCAAACTCTCCGTTACCATGGTTTCTGAAAATAATCCAACTTCTTATTGAAACATATTGCTAAGGGGCAAAAAGAAGATTGACTGAAACCACGGAAACGGAGAGGGGAAAGTGGGGGAGAGTGGAAAAACAGCATACCTTTTCTATTTACATCACCATCTGAATAACATAATCGAACCAAAAATATTGCATAAGACCAATAGTAACCGACCTACGCCCGAAAGGAGTTTGCGGATAAGGGTTTCACCCGTTTGCACGTGAACTAAGCACTACCAAACTACAGAAAAGTAAAAGTACAAAATTAAAAAGATTAAAACACATAGGAAAAATCCCAAAATCGAAAAAGTAAAATAAAAATAAAACAGAATAAAAATTAAAAGTGCTTAAAACATCAAAGTGGATAAAATCAACCGACAATAAAAGTGTCAAAAATACAGGTAAAAACATATAAAAGTAAGGTCAGGTAAAACATCAAATGGTAAAATATGAAAAATCACATTAAAAAAACAAATAAGACTAAAATAAGCTTAGTAGAATAAATAAAATAGTCGACTAACAGTTCAAGTGTCTCCCTTTCAAGGCTAAGTGCCTCCAAGATTAAAAATGTTCTAGGGTAAACCAAAGTTTCAATATTGCATAAATACTAGATGTGTTAAAAATAAAAAAAAGGTGTTTCTCTTATTCCTTATCTTTTGACTATCTAACAGAATACAAAACAAATCCTTGTTGAAAAAGTCTACTGTATAAAACACATAAACTTGATGTAGGAAAGGAGAAAAAACGTGAACGCTCGAAACACTTTAAAGTTTCAACAGGCAAGAGATCACCAAAGTCACGCATCACTGACTGCTGTCAGTGTGCGGATGGGTGATCACTTTGATAAGTCCGCGTAGGGACCGAGAGTATGCGGTATTGGTCATCGTTAAACTATTCTACCGTAAAGTGCTCCACTTCTTGAGCAGGTCGATGGGCTAACAAAGCGGAGGACCCATACCTTCTGCAAAGGATCAAAATTGTGATGGCTTGTCTTTGTATCCTCCTCAGGGATGTTTCCCAGACCGTCGCCAATAGCCCATTGTGCAGCTCATAAAATTCCTACCTACCTTTCATTCACAAACATTTACACCATACCGATAAAGAAACTCGTCTTAAATTTCTTTTTACCATCCATAACTAATTTAAAGTATGAAAAATGTGAGCTCATACAAATCTAGAGTATAAACCATGAAGTTTTAAATGTTGAAAAAAAATGTGTTATAACTATCAAAATGCAAGCAAATTATTAGAGAACTTGCCCAAAGCTGTAAAGAGATAACGGTACTTATAGGCGGGAACATGAAACCGAAGTTGAACAAAGCCTGATTGTGGCTTGCAGAGGTCAGCGGCGAGTTATAATACCGATAAGATCCATTACAGCATTATCACCATCGAAATATATCGAACAGGCTATCGAATTTCAGCTTCCCGTTTTTACCACACTTTTTCGTTACATTTCGTGTGAAGCGTTAAATATTACGGAATATATGGCAATTGTTTATATTTTGTTTGTTGTATTTCAGGTGATCATGGTGACGGGAGATCACCCTATCACAGCCAAGGCCATAGCCAAAGCTGTGGGTATTATTTCTGAAGGGAATGAGACGGTAGAGGACATTGCTGATAGAATGGGAGTTTCTGTCGAGAACATTAATGCAAGGTGAGAATCATTTATTAGGGAACAAAATAGAATTATTTTGTGAATATTTTTGTCCCGTAGAAAATAAAAGAGTTTCGCAGCAGAATCTAAAACCTCTAGCTTTAAATTACACTATCTCGCTGAAAAGAATTATTGTGGTAAATATCTTGCCATATTAAAAAATTTCCGCTGTTTTCAGTGTTCTAGTACTTAAAGCTACATTTTATTTTGCTGGTCGAAAACTACACGACTTAAAGCACGAAGATGAGTTCAGAAATATACAGGGAATACGATGAAATTAAAAAAATAGCGCGTGGAGTCCCACCGCGCGGAAGAAGTTAAACTTAGCAAACTGCGACGCTAATTGTAGAAGAATCAGCAGTCGTAGAGGGATCACTAGATCTATTCAACGACTCTTTTACCTGCTCCGCTCGCTTCTGTGCTCTGTAATCACGGTAATATTGCGCATTTTTCCCTCGTGGATCTCTTGAACCAGTGGAAGGGCTTGCGGTTGCCTCATCGTCTCGCCCTGGAAAATGTATTAATAATGTATGTGAATGCGTCATAACGTAATTTCAGAGGAGAAAAGCTAACAATTAATTGGTATTCACAAGAGACGTACCTCGACATAACCTTAAATCCGTCGCATTGTCCGTGGGATTGTTTTCACTCTTTTTTTACAATTGTTATCCACTAAATTTGAAAATAAAAAATACTACCCTATTAAATTATATGTGTATCAAAACAAACTAGAAAAATATTTATAGAAAAACATTACTTTTATGACTTTTATTATTTTTATGCTAGTGAGAACCAAAACAATATGGAAATAAATGAGGGAAAACTGGATCCTACCACGTGATTTCCCGTCCAAGAAAAATATAGCGTTAAAAGTTTAACGCAACTTTGTTGGAAGTCGCATAAGAAGTATCACTTCAAAAATTTTCACTGTTTTCAGTGTTCTACTTGAAGCTACATTTTATTTTGCAGGTCAAAAACTACACGACCTAAAGCACGAAGACGAGTTGAAAAATATACAGGGAATACGATGAAATTAAAAGCAAACAAACTTAACATTAAAGTAAAATTAACTATTAAATGTAGAGTGAAATATGATATGCAGTCCGCTCTTCAGGACGCAATAACTCAACTGCTGAGTTTAAATTCGAAGTGTGGAAAGAACCATTTTTATCCATAAACTCAACACGAGTGTGTTGTTTCAAAATTCCTATTTCTTCGAAAATATTAAATTTTTTAGTGCTTTTTTTCACGAATTTTCCCCTTTCTTTTTCGCTCTAATTACCCATTATTGTAGAAAAAATTTCTCTCTAAACCTCTATCTTATAAGCTCGGAATTTAGTTGATATGCAAAATAACAAAAACTGGAAGATAAGATATTACGAAATATAAAACTTATGATATACTTTGACATTTTTAAAAAATTAACATCAAGAGAGATAAAATCCGTTCCCTATCTTAATTGTTATGATTTCCGTTAACGAATAAAATCATCTTATTGAATCACTCATTCCGTATTCCTAAGATTGTAAAACATTCCCTTTTTCAAAATAAGTCAGTTTTCAACAGTTCGTTAGGATTAACATATTAACGAATGTTGTTATATAGAATTGTAAGATATAGTTGTGTATATTATTGAAAAAATGTCATTTGTTTTAATGGAAAATACTGACGGCGAAAAAACAATGTAAATGAAAAGTAATTACGAGCTTCGGTCAGTAGAACTTTCCTTAAAAAAATCGCCATGTTAGAGAAATGTTTTTTGCTTTGATGAAAATTATTAATATAAATGGATTTTCAAATATTTACAAAAATGCAGTGTTGGCGTAACTTATTAAATAATGAAATATGAGATCACAAATGTATTTTATTTAAATATGGTATTAGCTTTGCATTTTCTATTAACATTTGCTCAATTTTCATAATTATCACAGACGGCTCTGGCTTAAACCTGATTAACTTTATCGAACAGTTATGAAAATAAATTAATTCCTAAAAAGTGTTATTTTATACAACACAAAGAGCCGCTAGGGCTCAGGGGCTTTCTTATGAGGTGAACCGGGTTCAAACCCAGCGATGGCTGGTCGATACGAATTCCGCACCCAGCTCGTACCAACCACAGAGCTGACGTAAAATATCCTCAGTGGTAAAAGGATCATGGATTAGAATCCCCTTGCCGTCCGGCTAACCGTGAGAGGTTTTTTGTGGTTTTCTTCACCATGTAACGAAAATGAGGGTAAGTTCCATCCAAAAGTCCTTCACGAAGGCAAATTTCTCTCAATTCTTAATCCAGGAGTTCCCTTGTCTTCTGGATTGGGTTCGAATGCGTTCCACATTCGGCTTGCACCGACCACAGTGCTGACATGAAATATCCTCAGTGGTAGATGGATCATGGGTTAGAACCCCTTGCCGTCAGGCTAAACGTGGGAGGTTCTCGTGGTCTTCCTCTCCATGTAACATAAATGCGGGTTAGTCCCAATACTTGATCCAAGAGTTCCCTTGTCTTCTGGATTGGGTTCAAAATTACTAGGCTACGTAGTTGAGTATTGGTCGTAATAAACCGAAAAATTAGGTAAGCTGTTCAACCACGGTTTTAAAATAAAATAAAATACAACACAAAGCCTTTGAAAAAGCAACATTAAGTGAAATAACTAACTCCCTTAAAAGGAAGTTTATTATTTTTGAAATATGTTTTCCTAAATAAAGTTTAAGAAAATTATGATCGAAAATTAATTTTGAAAGTCATAATTTTTTTAAAAAAAATTATGAAGATTTACTTTGAATGTAAATCATGAAGTTACAACTGAAATAACTAATTGGATGAAGTTAAAAGGGAGGATTATATGGGATGATAGGAAGATTTCATTGAAAGACAAATTCCATAGTAATAAAAGTGATAACTAGATATACTAAAATGTCTAAGCATTAAAAGAGCCCGTTTATGGAACCAAATGGTGAAATCTCTTTAACTTTGACATGGAAGATTTTAAAAAATTATAACCACATCAATAACACTTTCTCATCAGAATGTTCCTTTAAGATTTTTCAAAATAAGTACTAAATTTCATATTGTTTCAATCGTACGTGTTTGAGTTCTAAGAGTGAGAAAGCGTGCAAAGTTGGCAATGACTTACTTGAAACATAGTCGCTAGCAGCGAACTCACCGCTTCATGGTTTCGCAGTGATTGACACCTCCACGAATTCGCCGCCTCGCTGCTCCACATTGATTCTTCTGCTTTCGGCATCATTGATCTATTTCTATTTTAGATACAAATTAAAAGAATTGGTGAAGGGACGCGCCTTTTGCCGCAGCTCACTATATTCGTCTATTCCATTTTTTTTACCATCTTTGAACAGCTGGCCCAATTTTGGGTTTACGACTACTAATATTCAATGTTTGAACCCAATCAAGAAGGCAATCAAACTACTGGATCAAGTACTGGGAGAAATTAACCTTCAGAGAAGACTTTTTGATGAAACTAACCCGCATTTGCGTTACATGGAGAGGAAAACTACAAAAACCTCGAACGGTTAACCTGACTGCAAGGGAATTCTTAACCCTTGATCCGTCTACTACTGGGGATATTTTAAGTTAGCACTGTGGTAGGTGTAAGCAGGGTGCGGAATTCGAATTGACCAATTATTGTTGGCATGCGAACCTGGTTCACCTCATTGGAAGGCGAACGCTCTATCCCCTACGCCAGTGTTCCCCAACCTTTTTATCACTGCGGACCTGTCAACGTTTGATAATTTTACCGCGGCTCGTAGGAGGGGATGGGGACGTTGATTGTTTACATTTTTGATTATTGTGGTTTATTAATTTTAATTTAAATGTATTTAAACATGCCTTCAAAATAAAATACAGTTACACCAAAAAATAAATATAAAGTGATTTAACATTTTAATTTACTAGAACATTAAATTAATGGGAACCCTGTACTTGTTTCTTTGGAATGAGATGGTTCCAACTGGGGGTAATCGTTTTAAAACGTTAAAACATTTATGTCACTACCTTCGGGAGCCCCCTTTTTTTAAATAAATAAAATAATGAAACACAGATTTTTTTAATTTTTGGTATAAACCTAGGAATTTAAATTCAGTTTCAATGAAATGGGTGGCCCCGTACCATTTGATCCACGGACCGGGGGTTGGGGAACACTTCCCTACGCCACCACAACTCTCATCTATTCTATTCGTAGACGCTTATATTAGTTTAATAGAGCCATAAGCAAATAAATCCCTTTTAATATGATAGATATTCCAATAGTATCGCATAAAAGCAGTTGACTCAAAGTGTATGAGACGTCCGAGAGATGAAATAATCTGGCATTAGCGGTAAAAATGATTGCCGAAGGAATCAGAAGTTTTTGATTTTCTGCACGGTTAAAAATTAACGGTTTATTTATTTATTTTTGTTCTTTTGTGTCTTAAATGAAACGGCAAAGTTCACTGCATTCGATGCAAATAACTGCTAAAGATTAATGGATATCACAGTGTAAAAATTTCAAGGGAAAAGAAGAGAAAATGAGATAGTTTATTGTGAAGGAAAAATTCTAAACTTTACGATGGTAATAGAGAGTCTAGAACTGAATAAATCTATGATATTTCGAGGTATAAACTTTAAGGTGTTTGGAACTCAAAAATGATAACCTGTAAAAAGCGTCCTGTAAGTATTCGCCATAAAAGTTATCCTGGTTTTTATCGGTTATAGGGATCATATATTGGCAACTGCTCTTCAGAATTCTCGCCAGCACGAACATTGGTTTCTATAAATGATAAGTTTTATCACCTTAATGTACTGTCAAAAAATAGCAAGATTTAACAATATATTGCAATATTTTTCTAATTTAATACATTTCATTTTTCTATTGACTTATAGTTTCGCTATACAGATTAATTTACCAGCACTCAGCTTAATATCGTATTCGAAAATTAGCGTCATATATAATATTCTCGATATTATCTTTTCGATTTAATGTGTTATTAATAGTGATGGCGATGTTGCTGTATTTAAGATACTTATGCGTATTATCGGTCACCGGTGACTTGTGCAAGCCAGAATCCGGTATTTTTTTTCCGAGTTGGCAACTTTTGGCTTAATGTTTCCTATACGAACCACTATTTCTTTACAGTTAAACTAAACGTTTGAATTTCAAATCCTTGGAGAGAAGTCAATTGAATGCGTCCTTTCTTTTAGGGAAGCAAAGGCTGCAGTTGTTCACGGAGCTGAGCTCAGAGACATGACTCCAGAACAACTGGATGAGCTTCTACGAGAGCACACAGAGATTGTGTTCGCTCGAACGTCTCCCCAGCAGAAGTTGATCATCGTGGAAGGTTGTCAGAGGCAGGGACAAATCGTTGCGGTCACAGGAGATGGTGTCAATGATTCACCTGCACTCAAGAAAGCCGATATTGGTAAGGAAAATCTTCGAGTTAACCTGAATAATTTAAGGATAAGTGAATTTTACTAGCTCTTCTTTAGCTTAATTACATGACAAACAATGTCTGGCTAAAAGTATGCGGGCACTCAATGGTATTGAGTCCAGAGGTATGTGATGTTGGTCCCCTGTTTGCATCGACGACAGATTGGGGAGACTTTTCAACCATTTTCTCATTGGTGATGATAGGAATGGAGCTAAAGGGAGTGCTGGTAGTGAGGATTTGGCTGTCTAAGTAAATAGGCTTCCGAATTTGCCTCCAATGATGTTTTGTGGATTTTAGATTTGAACTTCTAAAAAGGTTTAAAGCACCCATTTCATCACACCCTGAATGTGCAAGTCTCGAAATGTGAATGGAGCTACTTGGAAGAGTAGTGGTATTTTCTCGAAATATTGAGAAAGAAATAATAGAGAAACATTGTCTAGAATATTTACCTACATTTTAGAATTCATGTTTTCAACGAGAGGAGCTCAGGTCGAATCCTGTACTACACCATAAATTTGCTGGGTAAGCGTCCAAATACTTTAAGCCAATGATTCAACTTGAACGGAAACATGCTCCAATTAAGCAACTTAGGTTATGGCTAAGTTACCCGGTGTTTTAGAAACACATATACTGGACAAACATTTTTCATAATTTTATCATTTAAAAAGGTAATATTTTGTGATTTTTTTCGGCTAATGTTTGTGGTATAGAAGTATTATTATATTTTAGTCCAGTGGATTTTGATCACACTTGAAAAATATCTTGCAGCACGTAAAAATGCTAGAAGTTAAAATTCATTCTTTTTTATGCTGAAATTAAAAAAAAATCCCCTTAGGAAAATTTACCATAAGTTTACCATTACCATAAAAAAATACCATAGGATATTCCTATGGGGTTTTGCCTGTGGTAAAATTTTGCCATAGGCGTAAATAAATAAAATATGGTAAAAATAAATATAGTAAAATTTAATAAACGTGGTAAGAAATATGGTAAATAGGGTTATATAATAAATATGGTAAAATTTTGTCATACACGTAAATAAATTTGCCATAAACGCATGGCAAATTTTTGCCATAAGGGTATGTCAAATTTTGTCCATACGCGTATGGTAAGTGTTTAACATACGTATATAGTAAAATTTGACCATAGGTGAAATCACATTGGAATATCCAATAGCATTTTTTTATATAGCAAATTTTTGCTATAAAATTATGGTGTAATTACCGCACTTGAGAGTTTCTAATCTAAGTCACAATTGCATTTCTCTCTTAATATTTAAAGTTCGAGGATCGTTCTTTTTTTAAACTGATATTTCTTTTGCTTAAAGCGTGCTCTATTCTTTGAAAAGCTGTCTGTATCTTTTAAAATTCTAGGTGTGGCAATGGGAATCGCAGGAAGTGATGTCAGCAAACAAGCAGCCGATATGATTCTATTGGATGACAATTTTGCTTCTATAGTTACTGGCGTAGAAGAAGGTAAACAAATCAATCGAAGTATCACCCACAAAATGATGCTTTTTTTTAGTGCAGCAGAAGAACTTAAATTTAATAGCCATAACCAATATGTCTTTTAGTATCGCTCAACCTCCATCAGTTGTCCATGCGTTAAGTGACAGTCATTCGTCGTGTCATGCGTCGCCAAAATTCATACCAATTTTCGTGGTTAATACAGACTAATGATGATACATAATTAAGAAAGATGGGTTGATACATCTTACTCACCATTGATATTGGGGTCGTAGGCCAGGCCTTATTTTGACCATTTCCTACAATAGGAAAATTTGTACCTCCATCTCGCCCCTCTTCTGCGGCCACCAAAAGAGTAAGACTTTAAGGTTTTTTTTGAGGGTATAAAAACCTACCCACTTTATCCCAAGTGTCACCAACATCAGACTTTACCTTAACACGTATTGGACTGTTTTTGACTCATTAGGGAGGAAATTTATTCATCTCCTTCTTATGTATGATTTTTTTCAATGAGAACGGATTCTTAGATCTGGTCTGAAGGAACACAATGAGATACATATACAGAATATAATGATTCCCAAAAAATAAGTTTCAAGTTAGTCCTCCAGGTCACGTTTTTCAGGGTTCAAAAAGGGTGCGTCCTCTGATTATGAAGATCTTGAAAAGCCTATAAACTGGTGGGAGATAAGCAACAACAACAAGGATGATAAATATAATATATCTATGTAGAAAACTGCCCTAGCCATTCGTTTAGAATTGTGGCGGTGACTATGTTAACGTGGTTTTACTATTTCAAGTTGGATCATTATTTAAGACAGGTTTTGACTCAGGTGATAGAGAAAAAGGGAATCTGGGAAGAAAGAATCTTTGAAATGTGCTATTTATTGCTTCCATAGCATCAGAGAGCCTTAGACTTCATGGAGAGTTCTTTCCATAGACAAACTATACTGTAGATTCAACTGTATATAATAAACTGTGGATTCAATTGTATTACTGAAGAATTTATCCCCTAAAATGACGGCTGTCAACGTGTCATAGTTAACATTCAACTGCAGTAACTGTAGAAATTGTATTTTAAATTAAATTCAATATAAACTTCAAAATAAAATCGCAGCTTACATCCCTTAAACTTTAAAGTAATCATAAAATATATATTCTTACTAGTAACATAATTCTCACTCTTCGTATGAGGTGAAAAAAATTGTTAATAATTAACGAATCTCTATTAATTTAAGCTACGCAATTACGCGCGAATATGAAAGGCATATATCAGAACAATTAATAAATAAAAAATAATTTTTATTTCCTTAATTCTTAATTGTTGCTCTTCTCAAAGTCTTTACATTACTAGATTACGTAGTTCATAATTTTGGAAGCTCAAGTTCTAAAAAAAGTATTCAGTATCAGTTGCCTCCAAAAATGATATTATTAAACGCAACCAACACATTATAGTCAAAACTTACGCTCATCAAGCAATTTCCCGAATAGATTGGGACTTCCGGAATTAGCTTAAAAAATCAGAAATTAGCTTATAGCTTACATAGAGGCCAAATAAGAAATTTTTTAAAGGTTCAAATCAAAATAAAAATGAAAAGGAAAGTAAAAATTCTAAAAGGAATAATAGATATTAAATTAAGGAGGTATTAAAAAGAATGTGTTATGAACGACATCGTACTGAATACTGTTATACTTTTCACAAATGTTTAAACGAATAAGGAACATATTAGGCTTAATCACGCATTGAATTTAGTATCTATTATTATTCGCTTTGAAAATGGGTCTGTTTCGAAATAATTTAGGAGGCAGAAACATTATTAAGATTTAAATATGTACTAATGAACGATGGCAGTTTGGAATATTCGACATCTAGTTGTTTAGAAATCGCTACTTGTTTTCCCATTTAAATCCACTCTAAATGAAATATAATCGTAGTCACTGGAAAATATCAATGGAATGTACTTGATTATGATTTACCCTTCGAGTTTAGAACCTAATTATGGAATTTGATTTCAAATCACGATTCTCGAATCTGCATTTCATGAGGATAATATTCTTCATTTATATCATTTCATAATGATAAGGAGATACATTTGTTAATTCTTGAAAACCGGCCATCTTTCAAATGAAGTGCTAGACAGAAGCGATGTGCAAGCATAGGCGTAGTGTGAGGGGGACACGTGTCCTCTTCTCCAGCAATCTTCCAAAATTTCCGAATTTTTTAAAAGTTAATATTTTTTTAAACCCCTATGTTAGCTATTTTATTTAATGAAAGATCACTAAGTTTAGATAGTTTCAAATATAATTAAGCGTAATAATTTTATGCTAGTGGCATTTAAAAACGTATTTTATTATTTCTTTACATTAAAAATTTGTTTCAGTTTGAACACTATGATTTTAAATGAAACAATATTTAAGTACAGGGTGTTTATAAAGTCCCGGAATGGTTAGATAGACTCAAAAAGTTTCATGACCCTTGTCAATGAACATTCACGTGTGCCCCCTTCGTCGCACGGAGAATATCAAGTCGATAGTCAATGTCACGCCAGGTAGCGGCAAGCATGTCGGCATCCACAGAGGCTATTGCGGTTGTAATTCTGGCTTGTAGATCATCAATGTTCGACACGATCCTCCTGTTAACATTGTCCTTTATAAATCCCCAAAGAAAAAAGTCCAGCGGCGTTATATCAGGTGATTACTGTTAATTTATAATTTCAGTTAGTAGTTATTTAGTTTGATTTTACATTTTTATATAAAAATTTCTTGAAATTGGAATGTACAGTGCGCAAAATAAAAAACGGACCATTTTGAATAACTTTTGATCTAATGATCGGATCTAATGATCGGATCTTCGTGTTCTAGGACTCGGGAGTGACATCAAATATGCTAATTAATTAGAGCACATATATCAACATCGCCAACTCTTGATTGAAGAAACTAATTAAGAAATATTATATATCGTTCCTTGCAAGCGAATTTCTTCTATAGCGAAGCAAAAGTAAAATTTCTTTATCTCGCACTTGGTTTGTTAAGGGCGTGTCAGCATGAGGTTAACGTCATACAGTTGTTTCTTTTTCAAGAACGAATGTTCTCTTTATTAATCGAAATATGTCGCTAAGTCTGGGATTCCAGTATGACTACGAGACTAGAACTTTTTTTTCAATAATTCTGTGTATATCATAAAAGACAGCACGATACAAATTTCTGTCTGACGTGTTTAACTTTTAGAAGCTTTTAAATTGTTTTTGAAAGTATATTTGTGTAATTTGATACAGTGGCAGATCCAGCTGGGGGGGGGGTCATAGGGGTCATGCCCCCCCCCCAAAAAATAATTTTTTTAGTAGTTTGCAAAAGAAATGAAATATTTTAAAAATAATTTAAGGGAGCATATGCACCTAGGTAGGTCGGAAAAATAGATTTTTTTTTCTCCAAAGCCAAGATTTGCCATAGTTTCTAAAAAAAGCATTACATTTATTATTTAAAGATGTTGAATACTTGAATTATTTATGTATTGTTCTATTGTTCATTATGAAAAAAATAAATGAGAAGACTAGCTTTAAAAACCCTCGTTTTTTTTTTTTTTGAATATTTAAAGGAAAAGTTTTTATTAAAAAAATTAACTGTGGGGGGGATCTGAGTCTATGACTCCCCCCCCCAGGGAAAATTTCTGGATCCGCCCCTGATTTGATAACGAAATAAAAAGGAACTATATGCAGTCGCGGATGATTACTTAAATCCTTTACATCAATGGTCTTTTCTTAACTTGCAACGAAGTATGCATAGTGTGGTTATTGCTTTCTACGTATGTTTTGACAGTGAACCGAATGCGGTTAATGTCATTAAAAAAGGTCTAATAGTTTCAATGTTTGAAGAAATTCTTTCATAAAAAGTTCATTTTTTGACTTATGCCTAACTTCGAAGGTATTAGTTAGATAGATTTTGTGTAGATATTGAATTCAGCTCTAAACAATACAGTTTTGTTTTAATATTTCAAATTAATTAAACATTTGTTTTCGAAAACAATAAATGTTTTTCTTTGCAGGACGTCTCATTTTTGATAATTTGAAAAAATCCATCGCTTATACGCTGACAAGTAACATTCCTGAAATTTCTCCTTTCCTGCTCTTCATTCTGGCTGATGTTCCTCTTCCATTGGGAACAGTTACAATCCTCTGCATCGATCTTGGAACAGATATGGTAACAGTTCATCTTTTACACTGAATATTCCCTCTATAAAATATATTTTAGACTATAACCTTCGCTGAAAAGGGGAAACATCTGTGGGTTTTCGAATATCAAAAACCTGACCCAGAAGTCAGGCAAACTTTTGGACCAAGCCTTCGTGGAGGACTCTTTGACCAAACTGACCTGTATTTGTGTTACATGAGTGGGAGGCTTTCGTGTTACGCGAAAACCTCCCCTGTTAACCTGAAGGCAAGCGGATTCTAACTCATGATCCGTGTGCTACTAAAGATATATTACCTCCTAATTTGAGTTGATTCCCGCTAGGATCACAATTCGTATCAACCAGCCGTCGCTGGGATTCGAATCTGGGCACATCATTGGGAGGCTCTTGATTCATCGCTGCTTCCAGGTAAAATATAGATTATCATTTAAAGGAGGAAAGCAATAAGTTGGTTCAAACTAATAAAAGTTTTTCATTAATAGCTGTTAAAAATGGGCAGTGGTTTAAAAAAATTTTCGTTTATGGAACCCTAAGTGATCGACCTTCACGGAAACCTGAATTTTTTTGACAGAAACCTGGATTAGTGAATAATATTATTTGCTTATTTCTGCTACGATGTTGTAACAGTTATTTATAACTATTAGGTTAAAATAGGTCTTCTGCCCTCTTTGTTAATTTTGAAAATTGTGCAAAACGTTAACAGGCCAAAGTTTTTTGATCTAATTTTTCAGAATTTGAAAAGTGACTCAAACGCTCTACTCTCAAAAATTGAGAATTATTCATCGATTTTATTAATTTTCATTCAGATGAAAAAATCGAGATAATTTTGAAGTTTTAAATGTCGATCTAAAATATCGATAATTCTTTTATGGTAAAATAGTATATAGTATATAACTTGAAATCATAGCAGTAACTTCTTTTGACTCATTATCTTAATGTGATGTTTTTGTTCATTTGTGGCTAATCACTGATGAGGAAGACTGGGGTAAACACCTTAAAACTTGTTTGATTGTCCAAAGAAAAAGAAAAGAGTTGAAACATGATTCTTTTCCTGTACAGATACTTTAGCGAATTCAAACAGCTTCCGAAAGCGTTTCTCCTTGTCTTACTTATAGATCCGAAAATTTAAATTTTCAGTTAGTAGCCAGTGGCCGGTAGACTCTTATAACTTAGTAGCCTTCTCCTTATACTTAATGAATCGGTGATTGATAGGTCTTTTTCATTTAATGACACATTTTGCACACTTTTTTTTGTTGTTTGGGTTTATTTTTTAAACAAATTCTTATTAGAATAAATAATCTACGGCTATAAAAATCTAATTCAACTAAAAAATTTAGCTAAACAGGCTGACTTCGAAAAATTTTATATAAAAATATTTAGAGAGGTAACATTCACTTAAGACATACATTACAACTTTGAAACATGTGAATTGTTATAGAATTCCTCTTTCAATCACAAATTGATGAATTCTGAAGAATCAAAATTTTGAATTACTAATAAAATTACTTGGAATGGAAAAATATCGCAATATATCGTTTTTTGAGAGTGTATCGTGGTATTGAAATTCGTACTTATCGGTTATAAGGACCAAAGATCACGTTGGCGACAACTCTGAAAAGCATCCGCCAACACACATTCCTTATAACTGAGAAGTAACCTTATTTGTGACTAACTCTAAATGTGTGCTTCTTTTTTGACAAGGATTTTAAAAAATATACATTTACGGTAATCATTACGGAACACCCGGAATTCAAATAATGATATGTCTGATAGTAAGATAATAAAGAAAACATTAAAATATTGTTTTTGTCTTTTTATAGGTTCCAGCTATTTCTCTGGCATATGAAAAAGCCGAAAGCGATATAATGAAGAGAAAACCAAGAGAACCTAAAACCGATAACCTGGTGAACGAAAGGTCCTTATTTTTTATTTCTCATATGTTGCTTACTGATTGCATACTTTTCTCTGTACTTATCTGTTTTGGGGGGCATAAAATCTTAAAACCACAGTATCTGCATTAGTAAATTAAGTACCTTTTATCTGGTAGTGTCCATTACCACAATGCCAGTATTATCTACTATCACATTGCTACAAGTAACTGAACATCCTTGTTCTAAGACTCAATCTTTATGGTTAGAGGGGGCGATCTCAAACATGATAATTAATTAGTGCAGACGATATTTTAATTTATAAAATCAGACACAAAAACGTCCCTTCTTTGAATAAACACACCTTTTTTTCGACGGATTCAAGTTTCTGACCCCCAAAATATCGGGAGTAACAACAATCTGGAAAATTTGGTCCCCATAGTTTAGTCAGGAGAGTGGTCCAAAGTTTAGCCCCTTAATATTAATTTACTTTTCGCATATTTCGCTATATCTCGAAAACTTTCTAAGAAAATTGAAAAACAACTGCACACAACTATAAAATTCGTTTATCCAAAGATAAATTCATGCAAAAAAAAAATTTTTTTTTTGTAAATATAATTTTATTTAATAGCTGTCGAAAAAATTTTGATTTGTAAGGTACACAATTTATTGCATCATTTTAAAGAATAAAGGCGAAATACGAAATTCGATCAAAATCGGTCAAATAGTTCCTCAGAAATCGAGTTTTAAATAACTGACATTTATGAAATTCAATTTCTCAGGAGCTATTCGACCGATTTCCCTCAAATTGTTGTATTTCGCCATTTAAAATTACCATCTTTAAATGATGCATACAATTTTTAAATGATGAAAATGTACACCTTACAATTCAAATTTCTTCGATTAATTTTAAAAATAATAATAAAGAAATAATAATAAAAAAATAATAATAAATATTTACTAATAACAAATAATTTTTTTTTTGCATGGAATTATCTTTGGCTAAATGAATTTTATAATTCTGTGTAAAAAATTTTCAATTCGCTTAAAAAGTTCTCGAGATATAGTGAAATACGCAAAAACTAAAATTATTGTAAAGGGATCAAAACTTTGGAACGTTCTCCTGACAGAACAATTGGGAACATATTTCCCAGATTGCTCCTATATTTTGAGGGGTTAGAAATCCGAAATCGTGAAAAAAGGTGGGTTCATTCAGAGGAAGTACATTTTTGTGACTGCTTTCGCAATTTAAGATATCATCTGTACGAATTAATTAGCATGTTGGATGAACCATTAAGAATGAGTCCAAAAACGGGAAGATCCGATCATTAGATCAAAAGTTATGCAGGATGGTCAGTTTTTTTTCTTTTTTTAACGCACTATACATGTCTAGTTTGGTGCAGCATGAATAAATCATAAACTAAAAAATTCAACACCAACACATTTCAAAATAAAATACTTAGAAGAATGAGTAAATTATGATATTATATAAGAAACTTAACCATACACACTGATTTTGAATTAAAAACTTCGTAAACCTCAAATATTCAATTTTATGAAAAAGCTCTCTCCACGAAGATTAAAAAACTAGACTCCTAGCTCACTTTTTCACAAGTGATGTCATTTTCCCAAATAAATTCACTCTAATTAATTGAAATTACAAAAAAGGCCTGAGCCAAGGGCCAAATAAGTCTACTATTTTATCACTACATGCTCTTTGCGCTGCACTCGATTTTAATTGATAATATAATAGGAGATGCAATCGCAGCACAATAACCAATTATATTCTTGCTTCTATTTTATGATTTTGTATGCCAATCTTTTCTCTTAATTTCTTCCTTTAATTCTTGAATAAGACCACTACAAGACTAAGGATCACCATGGTGTAGAGATATAAGGCTTCCACGGGAAAAAAGCCTCGAACAACCAAATGACAATAAGAGAACGATGTTTCTTTTTCAAGTGCTTAGGCAGCATAGTGTCTGCTGTATTTGTCTTCGTGAAGTTCAACATATAACAACAAAGTTATTTACTTGAAGTTTGAATCATTGGAATTACAAGCGAAAAGCATACACGAAATTAACGTAGGACTATTTCTATTACACTCAATGAATTGAAGAATAACATTAAATTAAGGCTTAGGTTTCTTCCTAACAACTATTCCTCGAAACTTTACTGAGATTATAACTTATAGACGAGTTTATAAAAACGTCCTGGTAAAATAATAATTAAATAAAAATATTTTTTCTGCAAATGAATGTCGACAATACGTATTTCAATTGACTTATCCAACATTTCTTTTTCAGACTTATTTCGATGGCCTATGGTCAGATAGGAATGATGCAAGCTGCTGCAGGATTTTTCACCTATTTCGTAATCATGGCAGAGAATGGTTTCTGGCCTAGTACATTATTCGGTATTCGTAGAGCATGGGATTCAAAAGCAGTTAACGATGTCCCTGATTCCTATGGACAAGAATGGGTAAATTTTTTTAACTAATAACTAATTTAACGCACAAATAGGAAGCAAATAATATTTTTCCTTTAGTGCTTATATTGCCGTCTAATTGCATGAATTCTTATTTAAATATTCTTATCAGACTTTAAAAAGAAGTATATTGAAGTGTTAAAGTGAAACAATCTCCAGTCACATTGAAATTAATTTTAACAGCAACAAAGTCAAATATTTAAACAACGTTAAAAGACTTTTTTTAATGAAATTTCAATTTATGTTTATTATTTTAGATATAGTTTAAGAAAATCGTTTCTGAAATTAATGTTCCAAAACTTACGTATTGAAGATTGTAAATAATTGTTTAGTGAGGGAAAAAAACATATGAAGGCCAAGTAAATGATAAGTCACATTTCAAAAGGCAGCATTTATAGTGAAAGAGACAACGATTTCCGTGCACACGAAGAGACGTTTTGAGTAGTCATCAATACATGACTGGAAATGACTCTAAGAAACAGTTTAATATATATGGTGCATCTTCGTGTGGCATATCACTATATTATATCTCATTTTCATGTATGGTGAATCGTCAGTAAAATTAGATTAAAAATCGCAAGTATTTTTCCTGGCATCAGCAAGGATCGCGAAGTTATTTTTTTCCTATTAAATATTTTTGTATCCCTAAATTAGGGGTGATTGTATTCCGTGGGTACCACGAAATTTCAGGTTTTACATATCATTCTTCAGGGTCTAAAAACTAGAAGCGGAACATGCGATTTTTTCGCGAACATCGCAGAATTTCACGTAAATGAAAACCATTGGTTCGCGGACTTACGCGAATCAAAAACTTATAATCCGACAAAATTTTAAAATTTTGTCAACATCCCCTTAACGAGATATTTTTATACATTCTTTTGCTAATTACGTGAAGAATTACATCTTACGTGGTTCTTTCGCCAATTTGATTTTCTTGGTTTGGTGGATTTTCGCCATTTTGAATATTTGGAACTGTTAATATTGCGATTCTTATTTGCACGATTTTAATATCAAACGTCGATTTCCGTTTCAACCTGGTTTAAAAGCTACCGCGTTGCGAATCGTATTCACGCGATTTAAAAATCGTACATCGCACTTCCTATTCACGTCATTAAAAAATCCAATATCATGATTCTTATTAACGCGTTTTTAAAATCCAATATTGCGATTCGTATTCATGTGTTTTTAATATCAAACATCAATTTTCTCATTTATACGTGATTCAAAAACTGAGCATTGCGATTCGTATTCACGCGATCTAATATGTATAGTGATTCATATTTTCGCGATTTAAAAATTCCATATTGTGATTTGTCTTTTCGCGTTTTTAAAATCCAATATCACGATTCATATTCACGCAATTTTAGGATGCAATATTGGATTCTTAGGAGAAGGAAGTTTTTTTCTTGAATGAGTTACTCTAAAGGTGTGATATTCTACCTTAGTAACTAATTTAATTATAAATGTCAGTTCAAAAAGTTAAGTTAAATAAGAAACATGTATGGGTTACATGATTTAGGCCAATTTACCAACCGGCTAGAAATCACATGACTCTAAAGCCAATAGAAATTAACTGCCAAATTGATCTCGTATTCTTTTCAGTGGTGGATACTGAGTGAAAATATTTTTCACGTGTTTATCTTAGTATAGAAACGAATCTCACCGGCGTCCTGAAAGGAAAGCCTTGATTAATCGAAGAAACATCACATAGAGAGGCAGGCTGAAATTAATGTTTTAGACAAGTTCTAAAATTTATTTTTGTATGCAAGCTATATAACAACAGCTATATAATCAACATTCATTGTTGTCAATGTATGTCAAAAGGTGTTGCACTTCATTGATTTTTCTTCTGGAAAAATTTTGTTAGGATTTGGAAATTTGTTGTTGAAACATTTCTGCCGTAGACATTTTTGTCATTCATAAAGTACAGCGCAACTAAATCACTCTGTAAGTAAAAACAATCTACTCTAGACATGTATTTCAAAAATAAGGGATATATTTGTCTACTTCATTTTCAGGCTTTTTACTGTTATCTTAACCCTAAAAATGCATATTTATTTTTATAATAACAAGGTCGCTATTGTGGCAATTTTATCGGCTATGGTGAGTTGTCATTACTTTTTGTGTATTTACTTTTACCATCTGATCTTTGATATTTATTTGTCACTTTATCACGCAGACATACAAAGGGAGGAAGACGCTGGAGTACACATGTCACACTGCCTTCTTTGTGTCCATCGTCATCGTCCAATGGGCGGATCTCATTATCTGTAAGACGAGGAGAAATTCTTTACTTCACCAGGGAATGAAGTAAGTTTCATTCTATCTTATAGCGCTGTAGAAAAACATGAAAGAATCGCGCCTTTAATGATAGAAGCATAAAACATTGTGACAGACATCGTCACTTCCGAGCGGCTGTTAATTATGTGGGTAGATGGATAATTGAAGATTAAACATGTTGAATTTTATAAAATAAACGAACATTTGATTTGATAAATGAACCTTGACAATGCCTTTAATGATAGAAGCATAAAACATTGTGATAGACATCGTCACTTCCGAGCGGCTATTAATTATGTGGGTAGATGGATAATTGAAGATTAAACATGTTGAATTTTATAAAATAAACGAACATTTAATTTTATAAATGAACCTTGACAATAAAAGCTTTAGATGCGATGTTAGCCGTAATCCATTTAGCAACTTTTTTTCTGTCCAGCACAGTCTAAAACTCTTTCCACCTTCTGTTCTAAAATCTCCCTCGCCAATCTCGCTCCTCAGCAAGTCTCGTTATTCTGGACTGAATATTATCTTTTTGCCAGCCAGCACAAACTGTAGAGGATCCCTATATGCCGGCGCTATGAGGAAAACATGCCTTCTTTATGGCTAGTGTTTCTATGTAACTTAGGATTCACTGTGGCTACACACATTCTATCTATTTTCCAATCCTTTCTTCCGGTAGTGATAAAAATAGCATATTATTCGCAAAAAAGTATCATTTCATATTATGACGAAGCCTTTGAAAAACAGCCCTAACGTATTCTCTCTAACGTATCTGCATTCTTATTCTTTTCTATCATAAATAATATCTATTTCGCCAACTCTCAAAGTAAGCGTCTTCTTCTTTTTAGCGTCTTTTTTCTGACGCTTCTCTCCTTTTAGCTTCCATTTTTGCTTGTATTTCAATTCGACGACATTTAGTCTCTTCTTGACGTTTATTCTTTTTTTTTCTATAGGGCTCCCAATTTTTCCTTATGCAGTTGACTTTTTCCGCTAGCGCTTCATGCTCTAATCTTTGCTCAATAATTTCTTCCGGCAGTATTTCAACACTTCCTACTTCTGTTTACAGAACTTACTCTTCATAATCGTTTCCTTCGATGTGGTGAAGGAGATCTTTCTATCCCCAATTTCAATAAATCAGTTTTCGAATCTTTACTTCATTCGAAATAATCCTTCTTTACGTAGACTGGTGTCTTAAAACTAAAATATTTTTTGAGAAATTGTCATTGGACCCATCTCTGAAAGGTAATCAGTTCGATCCCAGCCAGCCGAAGACTACCCGTGTGCAGAATGGTGGCTGGTGCAAGCTAAATCTGTTGGGGTCACGAAGTCTTCCAAGTTCCCATCAACAAATCAATACATCTGGGGGTATTGGGTCGGAGATGGGTCATGCTCTGGTTCAGGTCAAAATTACGATCTGAAGATGGATGGATGGTGTGTAAATGTGTCCTCCCTGTAAAACGGGATGTGATGTAGGTATGTTGACCCTGGATCATTCTCAGGGATGTTTCCCAGACCGTTTACTAATAGCCCATTGTGCAGCTCTAGATCGACTTAAATAAATAAAAGTACCGTACCATACCGTATCCACCTACATGAGTTATATAAAATGTAAAGTATAGTGGAAGTAAATTCGTGTAAACCCAGAGTAAACCATGGGGTTTCAAATGCTGAAACATTTTTATCGAAATATCAAAATGCAAACAAGTTATAGCAGTGGGGAAAATATGTATCTGCAATAATATATTGTGTACTGACTGATACTTACTTAACATCTCGACGAACATTATCAACAAAACATCGCTTTGTTAGCAATATGCAGATCACTTCTAAATATAAGGCCGGTACTAAACACACTCTGATTCATTTTTGTTTTGAAAATGCGTATTGAACCGTGTGTGTGCAACACCTCCTAGAAAAGAGAAGGCCTCTACACGGGTTACCATAAATATCTTTCAGTAGTACAAACGTAATGACATATTTCGTATTTTCAACCACTGCGCAGCTTAGTACCCCGAACGTAATGACATCTTTCTTATTTTTCATCAACTGCGCAGTTAACTTCGTCACATCGGACTACTAAATTGATCTGTGCTGAGGCCTTTCTACTTCTAGGAGGTGTTGGTATGTGTGTGTGTTTTCTCTTTTCGGAAAAATTATCAAAATTTGGGATCTAATTACCACAGAAAATGATATAGTGACAAAAGCATTGAATCATCACATGGGAAGAAAATGTGCATTCAAGAACTTGATCTGACTCTGCATTTGAGAACTAATCTTGAAACTCTGCAATGACGGTGCTATGTCTATGCGAAAATAAATTATAGGTGCATGCGCACTTCTAGTGCGCATGCGCGTGTGAAAAAATACCAAACTTATGTAAGTGAAAATAAGAGATTTCGCCGAAGTCCATAAGTTAAAAACGCTAACGTAGTGGAATATCATTTAAATTTTGACCACAAAGTCAAAACAAGCATTTACTATGGATGTAGACTCTTTCTTTAAAGCTCTGGCATACGATTCAAGATGCTTCGCTCTACGTATAATTGCGGTTCTTTCATCAGAAAAATTTGGTAGATTATAGATTTTAATGAATTCAGCGATAAATAATGCTGCCTATTCTTATTATTAATAATAATATTTTTTTAAAAATATCCTTGAGCTTCTATTGATTATTTAACTTNTTTCGCTTTTTTAAAATCCAATATCACGATTCATATTCACGCAATTTTAGGATGCAATATTGGATTCTTAGGAGAAGGAAGTTTTTTTCTTGAATGAGTTACTCTAAAGGTGTGATATTCTACCTTAGTAACTAATTTAATTATAAATGTCAGTTCAAAAAGTTAAGTTAAATAAGAAACATGTATGGGTTACATGATTTAGGCCAATTTACCAACCGGCTAGAAATCACATGACTCTAAAGCCAATAGAAATTAACTGCCAAATTGATCTCGTATTCTTTTCAGTGGTGGATACTGAGTGAAAATATTTTTCACGTGTTTATCTTAGTATAGAAACGAATCTCACCGGCGTCCTGAAAGGAAAGCCTTGATTAATCGAAGAAACATCACATAGAGAGGCAGGCTGAAATTAATGTTTTAGACAAGTTCTAAAATTTATTTTTGTATGCAAGCTATATAACAACAGCTATATAATCAACATTCATTGTTGTCAATGTATGTCAAAAGGTGTTGCACTTCATTGATTTTTCTTCTGGAAAAATTTTGTTAGGATTTGGAAATTTGTTGTTGAAACATTTCTGCCGTAGACATTTTTGTCATTCATAAAGTACAGCGCAACTAAATCACTCTGTAAGTAAAAACAATCTACTCTAGACATGTATTTCAAAAATAAGGGATATATTTGTCTACTTCATTTTCAGGCTTTTTACTGTTATCTTAACCCTAAAAATGCATATTTATTTTTATAATAACAAGGTCGCTATTATGGCAATTTCATCGGCTATGGTGAGTTGTCATTACTTTTAGTGTATTTACTTTTACCATCTGATCTTTGATATTTATTTGTCTCTTTATCGCGCAGACATACAAAGGCAGGAAGACGCTGGAGTACACATGTCACACTGCCTTCTTTGTGTCCATCGTCATCGTCCAATGGGCGGATCTCATTATCTGTAAGACGAGGAGAAATTCTTTACTTCACCAGGGAATGAAGTAAGTTTCATTCTTTCTTATAGCGCTGTAGGAAAACATGAAAGAATCGCGCCTTTAATGATAGAAGCGTAAAACATTGTGACAGACATCGTCACTTCCGAGCGGCTGTTAATTATGTTGGTAGATGAATAATTGAAGAATAAATATGATGAATTTTATAAAATAAATGAACACTTAGTTTGATAAAAGAACCTTGACAATAAAAACTTTTGATGCGATCATTCAGCAACTTTTTTTTCTGTCCAACACAGTCTAAAACTTTTTCCACCTTTTGCTCTACCCCAATCTCGTTCCTCAGCAATTCTGGACTGCAATTTCGCTATTCTGGACTGAATAATATCCTTTTGCCAACCAGCCCAAATTGTAGAGGATCCGTATATGCCGGTGCTAAGAGGAAAATATGCCTTTTTTTATGGCTAGTGTTTCTATATAACTTAGGATACACTGTGGCTGCACATTCTATCTATTTTCCAATCCTCTCTTCTAGCAGTGATAAAAATAGCATATTATTCGCAAAAAACTATCATTTCATATTACGATGATGCCTTCGAAAAATAGCCCTAACATATTCTCTCTGATCTGCATCCTTATTCTTTTCCACCATAAATAATATCTATTTCGCCAACTCTCAAAGTTCTTCTTTTCAGCTTCTTTTTTCTGCCGCTTCTCTCCTTTTAGCTTCCATTTTTGCTTGTTTTTAAATCTGATGACATTTAGTCTTTTCTTGACGTTTATTCTTCCTTTTCTATTGGACTTCCAATTTTTCCTAATGCAGTTCACTTTTTCCGCTAACGCTTCATGTTCTAATCTTTAATTAATAATTGCTTCCACTCGTATTTCACCACTTTCTACCTCTGTTTTATGGAACTTACTCTTCATAATCGTTTCCTTCGATGTGGTAAAGGAGATCTTTCTATCCCAAATTTCAATGAATCGGTTTTCGAACCTTAACTTAATTTCAAATAATCATTCTTTACGTAGACTGATGTCTTAAAACTAAATTATTTTTTGGGAGAAATTACCATTGGACCCATGTCTGAAAGGTCGTCAGTTCAATCCCAGCCAGCCGAAGACTCCCCGTGTACAAAATGGTGACTGGTGCTAAATCTGTTCGGGTCATAAAATCCTCCAAGCTCCCATCAACAATTCAATACCTCTAGGGGTAATGGATCGGAGGTGGGTCGTGCCCTGGTTCAGGTCAAAATTACGATCTGAGGATGGATGTATGGAGTGTGATTGCATCCTCCCTGCAGAACGGGATGTGACGTATGTATGTTGTCCCTGGATCATCCTCAGGGATGTTTCTCAGACAGTTACTAATAGCCCATTGTGCAGCTCTAGTGCGACGTAAATAAAAGAACGGTGCCGTACCTGCATGAGTTATATAAAATGTAAATTATAGTGGAAGTGAATTCATGCAAACCCGGAGTAAACCATAAAGTTTCAAATGCTGAAACATTTTTTATCGAAATATCAAAATGCAAACAAGTTATGGCAGTGGGGAAAATATGTATCTGCAATACTATATCGTGTACTGATTGATACTTACGTAACATCCCGACTATCATTATCAGCAAAACATCGCTTTGTTAGCAATATGCAGATCACCTCTAAATAAAATAAGCACACTCTGATCCATTTTTGTTTTGAAGATGCGTATTGAACCGTGTGTGTGTTTTTTTTTCCCTTTTCGGAAAAATTGTCATAATTTCAGATCTAATTACCACAGAAAATGGTATAGTCTCAAAATCATTGGACCACATGGAAAGAAAATTTGCATTTATGAACGCGATGTGATTCTGCATTTGAAAACTAATGCAGCAACTCTGCAATGACTGTTCTACGTCTGTGTGAAAATAAATTATAGGTACTTGCGCCGGGGAAAAAATATCAAACTTACGTGAGTGAAAATTTTGCAAAAATCTGTAAGTTAAAAACGCTAACGTTGGGGAATATCATTTTAACTCTGACCACAAAATCGAAACAAACATTTACAATGGATGTAGACTATTTCTTTAAAGCTGTGGCATACGATTCAAAATGCTTTTCTCTACGCAAAACTGTGAAATTGGGAGCCGAAAAAATTGACAGAATTTAGATTTTGATGATTTCGCGATTCTAACTTCTTTTAACTAAATTGTGCAGTTAAAACAAATATAATTTTGAAATAGCTAACGTATATCTAGTTTCTTGAGGAACTAGTTCAATTAGACAACCATAATGTTAAACAAGAACAAAGAAATTTATTTTTTATTGAATGAACCAATGGTTGCAAAATCACACTATTCATTTCTAAATTTCATCAATACATTTCTTCAAATTCGCATTCCATGTCTATGTTTTTAGTTCGAAGATAATCTTAAACAGAAAACAACATTTAACTGCTATAAACAACCTGATTGTAGCTTTGTCTTTGTAGCGTAAATCACGCCAACATAAAGTAAGGAAACGTCGTAGCATCCAAAATAAACGCGAGCATGGGCAGTTGCTTCAATTTGCGAAATCTCCCTAATTACTCATTTTTTACATGCTTTAAGTTATACTTGTATTTCCTCTATCAGTACTTATAGGAATCCTGAAGCCAACATACAGGAACAATGTCACATGCACAGAATACCAGATAGCGCACGCAAAAGTGTATCCAATACAACAGAATTGTAATCATTAACGATGACAATACTCATGAAATACGGAAATCAAGCGATTGCTATTGATAACTAAGATTATCGAGCACAAATATTATACATTACGTTAATGATTGAATACAATATTGCATGTGGATAAACTTTGCGCTGCGAGACTATTGATTAGCATAAAAGAAAATATAAATTAAATTGGTTAAATATCGCGATATATTGTTAAATATCGATACTTTTGGCATTAATATTAAAATTTCTATTTATTAGTTGCAGGGACAAATGTTCGAGTTAGCGTGGCCTCGAAAAAAACAGTCGCTAACACATGATCCCGATAGCCTATAAAGTATAGTTTGTTCACCAGAAGTCGGCACTTGGCACCACCTCCTCGGACGCAGAGTTCATTTCAGCGAGGAGTAAAAAGTGATACATCTCCGCGCTTTAAATTGAGACAACCCTGAATGCGCGCCAAACACGAAAAGTGAATTTTTTTTAAAACAATTACTTCGCTTTATCATCTGCTATTATACCTTTCGTTTCTCTAGCTAATTAATATCTTTAAATTTAAAAACTGCTGTTTTCGCAGCAAAATGTCTCAAAAAGGACAAACTATTCACTTCGAAATATCATAAAAAATGGAGCGAAGCATCATCAAATTTATAAAATATTTAATGTTGAAAAAAATGAACATAAAGTTGGCGAAATAAATATTTTTGCCATACGATCGCCAAATAGCAACCTTGTTCAAGATTATTCACATCCTTCTCCCAAAAATAGAGAATCAGCATTGTCGCATACCACGTGATGAAGGCGGAGCCAAGTGCCAACTCCTGGTGAACGGACTATACCTGTCTTTTTGTTACAGTCAATTGATCTGTGAAAATCGCCAGAATGAATATAGCTCCCCAATATTGGCAAAATCGGTCGATTTGATTTGTACTAACTGTTTTAAGATCAACAGGATTAATTCTACTAAATTATAATACCTATCTTTTTCAGGAACCACGTCCTCAATTTCGGACTTTGCTTTGAAACAGCCCTTGCCGCCTTCCTATCCTACTGCCCCGGAATGGATCGTGGTCTGCGCATGTATCCACTCAAATTCCAGTGGTGGCTGATCGCTCTTCCATTCTCTCTCCTCATTTTCGTCTATGATGAAGTGAGGCGGTATATACTCCGACATAGACCTCCTGGCTCATGGATCGAGAAAGAAACTTACTACTAAGAAATCTCGCCTCATTCTTTATTCATCTGCTGTATTTATACTTCATTCTCAAAATGTCTTTGCACGTCGATTTTAATTTATTTCGTGCGTGTTGGAAAGATGAACAATGAAAAAGTACCATTTTGTGTTTCGTTCAAAGTACCTCACGGAATTATGTAATATTCTTCATCTAAGTGTAACAATTCTACAATTCTAGAAAATAAAATGATTTTAATGCCTGAAGTTTCTCTAGAAACTGTGGTCCGTGCGTGGAGATCGAGATTCGGACAGAAAGTAAGGTTTAGTGACAATCAGAAGAAAAATGCATACAAATTTAAAAAGAACGCCATTTGTCGGTATTAAAAAGAAAAAGACCTCGTAGCAATCCTTCCCTGGGAATGACAACAATCTCCCCCAGCGAGAAGAATTTTATTTTTTGATACAAATAAGAACACATAAAAAAAATATTATTTCTCTCAATATAATTTCGAATTAAACAATGGGTGGAGATCGAGATTCAGACAGAAAGTAAGATTTGTTGACATTCAACAGACAAATACATACAAATTTAAAACAAACGCCATCTGGCGGTATTAAAAAGAAAAAGACTTCGTAGCAATCCTTCCCTGGGAACGACAACAATCACCCCCTGCGAGAAGAATTTTACTTTTACAAATAACAATTTATAAAAAAAACATTATTTCTCTCAATATAATTTCAAATTAAACAATGGTTGGAGATCGAGATTCAGACAGAGAGTAAGATTTGTTGACATTGGACAGACAAATACTTACAAATTTAAAACGAACGCCATCTGGCGGTATTAAAAAGAAAAAGACTTCGCAGCAATTCTTCCCTGGGAACGACAACAATCACCCCCTGCGAGAATAATTTTACTTTTACAAATAACAATTTATAAAAAAACATTATTTCTCTCAATATAATTTCAAATTAAACAATGGTTGGAGATCGAGATTCAGACAGAGAGTAAGATTTGTTGACATTGGACAGACAAATACATACAAATTTAAAACGAACGCCATCTGGCGGTATTAAAAAGAAAAAGACTTCGCAGCAATCCTTCCCTGGGAATGACAACAATCACCACCTGCGAGAAGAATTTTACTTTTACAAATAACAATTTATAAAAAAATATTATTTCTCTCAATATAATTTCAAATTAAACTTATTTTTTTTTCAAAAAGAAAATTAATTTCTCAAACGTTACAGCTTTAGTTAAGAAATCAGAAATGTTATCATTAGCATTGTTATAAACAGTTTTTAATGTTTCATCTTCAATCATATCTCTCACAAAATGAAATTTAAGATTTTCATGCCTGGTTTTGTTAGAAGACTTCCCAATGTTCAACCAGTCAATAGCAACTTGGTTATCAGAAAATATAGTAACAGGAGAATTAATAAATTTTTCACAGTTCATTTCATTGAACATATTTATTATCCAAGTAAGTTTTCGAGCTGCGTCAGCTGCAGCAAATAATTCAGCCTCACATATTGATAGCCCTATATATCTTTGTTTTCTACTTCTTCGTGCATTAAGAGAATTAATTACACAACCTGGAAAAAAATTATCTTTCTGCATTGCCCCAAATTTCATCAACAGTACAACTTAAAAACCGAATTCTTTATTATAAAATATGTTCCTATCTTTTGAACAGCGTTCAAATCTTTCAAAACTGTTTTAGCCAGAACATAATGCCTTTTTTCTCGGAACGTTTCCTAAATTGTAATAAATAACTAGTTACAAGAGCAATATTTCGTCGGGTTCTATTTGCTAAATATAAATATTCACTTACGATTTAATCAGTCTGATTTATTAAATCATCAGTAGGATTAAAAACATCTATCTTCAACTTTAATTATGGGGGTATTTGTTTTCCTACATTTTTCCATACCATATTTTTTCATTGAAGATTCAATTTAATGAGTGTGAGGTCAATCAATTCCATTTTCTTTTTATGAAATCTCAATACCTAAAAATGTTGAAACATTAGTTGTTTGTTTTAATTCAAATGGTTTATGAAGTTTTGAAATATCTTTGTATGATTTCGAATTATTAGAAAATATAGCCAAATCATCAACGTAAACACAAATTGCAAAAAAATCCTTATCATTAATTTTAGTAAATATGCAATTGTCAGATGCAAGTTGAGTAAGACCAATCTTTTTAAAATTCATTATTTAACTTTATATGCCAATTTCTACCAGATTGAGGTAGATCATAAGAACTTTTATCTCATTTGCTTACCTTATTTTTACTATATTTATCTTCAAAACCTGGAGGTATTTTCATAAATACAGTTTCATGAATATCACCATATAAAAATGCTGTTTTAATATCAAGAAATGTAACAATTAAATCCAATTTTGCCGCTTAAGCAATTAATACCCTGAATAATTCAATATTTACCACAAATGTCATACCTGCCAACTCTTCCGGATTTTCCGGAAAATTTTATTTTCATATTTAAAGTGGTAGCAATACTCAGGTTATTCCAATTAACTTTTTGAATTATAATGATAATTATAAATGAGTTTGACCTCCACTACATATAAATAATTACGGTAAATATATAAAACCATAATAATCTTTGCTCAAGCGAATTTCAACGGGATCAAAATACAAATATATTTTTGAGTCAGATTGTTTTTCATTTATTGTTTTACAACCACTCTGAAAATCCATTCTCGGAAAGAGTGAAAGTTGGCAGGTATGAAGTGTATATGATTCAGAATAATCAAAATTTTTTATTTGATTAAACACAGCTGCAACCAGTCGTTCTTTGTTGTTATCGATATTTTTTATTATATACACCAGTTTACTTTTTATTATATTTTCATTCTTAGGCCTTTCAATTAATTCGAAAAACTTACGCTTCTCCATCGAAAGAAGTTCAATTTCCATTGCGGTTTTCCACTTCGAATATTTATTGCTATTTATCGTCTGTTCATAATTCGAAGAACGTAATTCATCTGTTCGAAGAACAGATGATTCTTTCAAGGCTAAGCTCACGTTCGCGGATATTTTATTTTTTATTCTTTCAGAAGCATCTTAATGCGGGAGTATTTTGATTGTGCTCATTTTGCATCTCGGTATTTTCTTAAGACGATTTATGAGAAAGAGAATGTTCACTCCTTCATTCGGTTGGGCTTCAGTTTCGACTTGAGGTTGAGACGAAGAATATGAACAGGGAAAGAAGGCTAGCTTCTCTAGACATAATGTAAACCAGTCCCCCAAAGTTTGGTGCGATTCTTGTATTATATAAAGGTAAAAACAACATTTAAGAGCAAAGCAGCTAAGATTCCTGAAATGGGTTTACACCCCCTTTTCTCCCAAACACTACAGATGTAGGGAAGAAGAGTTCCCTCTTTTAATTTATTGTTGGTTTGTCCCCAACCATACATGTAGAGTTATCCAACTACCGATTCTCGGGACGTACCTCCTAACTGCCATTTTGCTTCTTTCTCATGAATATGAGTCTAGCGCCCTACCAAGCAGGTTATCCCGGGTCCCAATGAATACTCTAATATATATTTTTTAAAATTCGTATCAAAAAGGAAGCCAAAAAAACATTCATATATGAACGCGAAACTGACGAGTTGCTTTTAAAAAGACGGGGTTAATGTAAGGTTTGCCACCACTAGATGGCGCTGCGAGATGTGAACAAAACTTAAGAATTAATTAAAAAAGAATCTCTCTTNCTTAATGCGGGAGTATTTTGATTGTGCTCATTTTGCATCTCGGTATTTTCTTAAGACGATTTATGAGAAAGAGAATGTTCACTCCTTCATTCGGTTGGGCTTCAGTTTCGACTTGAGGTTGAGACGAAGAATATAAACAGGGAAAGAAGGCTAGCTTCTCTAGACATAATGTAAACCAGTCCCCCCAAGGTTTGGTGCGGTTCTTGTTCCGGGTCCCAATGAATACTCTAATATATATTTTTTTAAATTCGTATCAAAAAGGAAGCCAAAAAAACATTCATATATGAACGCGAAACTGACGAGTTGCTTTTAAAAAGACGGGGTTAAAAACATCAAAACTAGTTTGATTGCCAGAGGAAGCAGAGGACTGAATGAAACTGGTTTACTGTTTCGTTTCATCCAGTTGTGGTTCGTAAGAATTCGATAACGTTTTTGATTTTTATTCGGTTGGATTCGATATAGGAAACTGATTTCCGATTAAGTGACCCAGGTACGAATCCCAGCAGTGGCTCTGCTCTCAACTCGCGTCGACCACAGTACTGACGTAAAAATAGCATCAGTGTAGGATCAAGGAATATACATAGGGGGAGAAGTCTATCTCTCATAGGCTTAGTGTAAATCATTCCCCAAAGGTTAAGCGCGGTACCTATGTCAAAAGGAAAAACAATATTTAGGGGCACAAATGCAGAGGTTCTTGAAACGGGTATGCATCCTGTTCTCTTCCAAACCACTACTGGGTTAAAAGAGAAGTTATCTCTTTTGGTTTATTGTTGTGTTATGTTGCACTTTTACTTGATTAATAAACAGCACTTCTACTATTCATTAAGAAATTTCTTTGAGAATACATTTATATCATCCATGTTGCTTAAACACATTTTGGCATAGAAAGAAAGAATGCAATGGCGGTTGGTGGGAGACAGAGTGCCCAACCATACATGTAGAATTGTCCAACAACCCGTTCACGGGTGACACACCTCCTGACTGTCACTTTACTTCGTATGAGAATGCGCTGTATCTTAATACGTATGATGCACTGCTAAATCTGAGTACGTTACTCACCCTGTAAGTTGTTTTTCTGGTATAGTATTCCGCACCGAACAATTCTCGGCGTAATTTACCCATTCGAGGAGCTGGACTTCTCTCTATATTCTTTGGTTGAGATATATTAAACAGGGTCAAATCCTCAATGTTCCATATGATACACTCATTTTTGTTTGTCAGAAAATTTACTTCCTCTAACTGATTCGTTAAATTTGACAGTAACAATTACAATACACAATAGAGAGACTTCAATTACAAAATTTTTTTATCGACATTACATATTCTATAAGCTTGCTTTTCTCTAGAATAATCGACAAAAATCCCGCGTTTTCATGAAATATCAAATTTATTTTGGAATTGTTTAGGCAAATGAAAATAAACGACTCTTCCAAATACTTCTAAGTAGTTAAGTGTAATGTTCTTTTCCTGACCATATTTCAATCGGAAGAATCGGTTTATTTTTACGCGGTGTTCGAATAAAA